CTCCTCTGCCAAGCCTGGCTGCTCTGTCCTGTCCTTCCCCACGCAGGTCTGGGCCTCACTGCCTGGTGCCAGCTGCCCATGCCTGCTGCAGGAGCCAGGAGCCAGCTCCTGGGCTGGTGCCTTCATCCCACTGCCCACGGGCACCACGGCTGCTGCCCAAACCAGGGGGCTCAGAGTGGGAGTCACTGCGTTGGGACCCCACAGCGAGCCTGTGCTCAGGTCACAGTGTCACCACAGCTTGTCTGGGGAAGAGCCAGCACTGAGACACAGGGGAGTTGCTGTAGAAAGTCTATTTATGATTCTGTGCTACATAAGTTTATTTTCTTTGCAGACATCCTTGATACCAGCCGTGTTATCAGTGAGGATGGCAAGAAGAAGGTGGGTGCTGTGTGTAAGGCTTGGTGGCTGTTGTGCCTGTCACCCATCATCAGGAGGTCACACTGGCTGCTGAGGCAGCTCTCCCAGCTGTGGTGGCTGCCAGGATGGAGTGAGAAAGTGTCCAGGCTGCATTTCAGCCAACAGTGACAGAGGAGAAGTTAAAAAGGGAACTTGAATTTGCATGTGCAGCTGTGGGTGTTTCAGTTTGATAGGAGGAGGAAGGGGAAGGCTGTCTGTACCTGCAGCATCTGGAGTGAGGTGAGGGCCAGCCAGGCTGCTGAGAGTTCCAGATATGCTCAGAGAGAAGCTGCTCAGTGACAAGGTTTTGGTTGTGTTTAGGAAGAGCAATGCTTTGGGGAACTTCAGAAATGCTAGTTTTGTTTAGTCTCTTCAGACCTGAGGTTCACTTTGTTCTTTTTCCCTCTGTGTGACACTCCAGCTGAAGGATCTACTCCACTATTACTATCCCATTGAAATAGATCCCAACCGGACCCTGGAAGAGAAACGTCCCCTCATGGTGGAGTGGTGAGTGCTGTTTGTGGTGGTCTTGACAACCTCTTGCCCCTGAGGACTACAGGACATGAGGTTTGAATCATCCCTGGGCTTGGCAGCGATCCCACAAGGTTTAGTTGTTGTTTCAGGCTGCTGAGGGCCTCTGGCAGCTCTGCCACTGCTGCCTTTCCCACATCAAATACAGGTGGACCAAGGCCCATGAGCTGCTGGTGCAGCAGAAGATCCACAAAAGTGACATAGCCCAGATCGTCAGAGAGTCAGAAGCGATGCTCAGGTACGGGCACAGGATGTGATGCTGAGGTTTGGGCACAGGGATGTGATGCTGAGGTACAGGCTGGGGGATGTGATGCTGGGGTACAGCTTGGCTGCCCACTGCCCTTCTCTCCTGCCCATGTAGTCAGAGTCAGTGCTTTGCTCACTGGTCTCCACATGTGGCCAGTGCCAGCCTCCCTTGCTCGCTCCCTGGGGCTGAGTTCTAGCAAATTCAGAACACGAGACACAGCCTGAGCTCTCTCCTTGGTTGCAGGCTGCTCTGAAACCATTCCCCCTCTCTTGGGCCTTGGCAAGGAGCAGCTGAGAGGCTGGTGCTGGGCACAGCTCCCCATTTGAGGGCAGGATGCAGGGGCAGTGTGCAGCTCCCTGCTTCCAGCAGAGCTCTGTTCTTTGCACTGGAACTGCCAAGCCTTATGCAGGCCCTTGGCTCAGCAGAAGATTTAATCCACAGCACAAAAATGTTGTGCTAGAACTTGCTGCTAGAGCTGATCTGGCAGCTGTGGCCCTAAGGCTGGCTCAGGGAGCTGGGCTCTGCCAGGCTGCTGCCAGGTTCGGGGAGGAGATGGTTTTCATGAGCCCAGGTTCCACTTCTGCATGGAATTGTGTCCTGGCAGACTGGGGCAGCCACAGGTGGTTCTGATCATCCTCCCAGCCAGTCCCACACTGGCATGGGTGTGTGTGGGCAGGCTGTGCCCTGTGCCTCTGCTGAGCAGCTGATGTGCTCAGGAGATGCCAGGCAAAAGGCTGGAGTGCTCCAGGCTCCCACAAGCAGCTGCAGCACCCAGAGCTCCGGGGTTCTGCACAGGGAGGGCCACGGGTGTGCTGGTGCCACAGAGAGCTGGTGCTGTTTGCAGAGATCACCTGTGTGTGTTTCTGTTTGGGAAGTGCTGGGCAGGAACAGGAGCTGGGCTGAGCCTGCTGCCAGCACAGGGCACCAGACACCACGCTGGGGGCTGGTAACACAGCCCTGTGCAATGGACACTCCTGCTCCAGGGATGGCTTCAAGGAGTTCTTTGATCAGCTGCATAAGAACAACGTCCCCCTGTTCATCTTCTCCGCTGGCGTTGGTGATATCCTGGAAGAGATTATCCGTCAGGCCAACGTCTTCTACTCCAATGTCAACGTGGTGTCCAACTACATGGGCTTCAATGATGGTGTGAGTTCTTGCCGTGCATCTGTGTGGTGTGAGGGGAGTGGTGTGGGGCTGGGACTGAGGACTGGGACCGTCACTGAGGATTAGCAGTGACACCAGCGGGTTAAGAGCTGTCTGCCTCTCTGCCCCATGTGCTCAGGGAGTCCTCACGCACTTCAAGGGACCCCTCATCCACACCTACAACAAGAACAACACCGTGCTGCAGGGCACAGGGTACTTCCAGCAGCTGAGCACAAGGACGAGCATCATCCTTCTGGGGGACTCTATGGGTGACCTGACAATGGCAGACGGTGTTCCCAACGTGGAGAACATCCTCAAGATTGGCTTTCTCAATGACAAGGTGGGTGAGAGGAGCAGTTTAGTGCTTCCCTCCCAGCCAGGCTGTCCCAGTGATTTGGGCACGTAAGAGATTTGTACGAGCTCCTGTGGGGTGTGCAGAGGGACCTGGGGGTGTCTGCTGAGCTCCTGCTGTGTCTGGGAAATGGTCACAGTAGTTGCTGACCCCCTTTTTGGTCATCCTGATGCTCAGCTGTTGGTTGTTTGTGGTCCTGGCAGGTGGAAGAGAGGAGGAGGAAGTACCTGGACTCCTATGACATCGTGCTGGAGAGTGACGAGACACTGGACGTGGTGAACGGGATTCTGCGGTACATCCTGACCCAGACATGAGCTGGGGACACGGTGTCCCAGCTCCAGCCCCGCAGTGGGCACTGGGCAGGGAATGTCCTTCCCAGGACAGAGCTGGAGGGGGCTGCTGGTACTGGCTGGGCTCCATCCTGACCTCACGAGTGCTCTCGGCCAGCCCTGGAGCGGGAGAGGTGAGGTGGAGGAAGCGTCTCCTTTCCCTTTACCCCAACTCTGCCTGGCTCTGCAGTTTCCCACCCAGACTGACTCTATCCTGCTCAGACTTCATCCCTCTGGGAATTCACCCCTGCCACCTCCTGAGGCCACAACAAACCCTTCAGTGTTTCAGAGATGTTCTGTACTTGCTTCAGCAGCTGAGGGTGGAATGGAGATAGTTTACAGGGGGGTGAGGACAGAGCCAGTTTAGATGTGTCACTGTGTTCCTGGCTGAGAAAACAAGTTTCTCCTGTTTTCTGTGGGCTTCAAAGCTCCAGGGCTGACTGGTGCTAGTGTAGCCACTGGGCTGCTGTGGCCCTGCTGGCCATCACACCGCCCAGCCCCATTCCCCAGGAAAACCAGCAGCTCTCTGGCCTCGTGTCTCAGCTCACCCATCCCTCTTACTGTGAAAAAAAACCTTTTTCCAGCCGTCCCTGAAGGCCCTGGAGCTTGGCTGCTGCTGCTGCCCAAAGCCAGAAGTTTGTGTGCCAGGCATCAGAGGAGGAGGGGTGGGAATGGGGGAGGAGAGGCCAGTGGCAGAATTTTGAGTTTTAAACGTTTACCTGACCGTGTTTGTGTACTAATTTCTGGGCTGATCCCAGGCTCTCAGAGCAGCAATAGGAAAATACCACTTTATTACTGTGTAACCTCTGGTTATATGGAACTTTGGGAAGAGCAGACTTGTTCTGTTTTGGAATAAAACCACAACTGGTTAAAGCTGGGTCAGGGATGGTTTGTACCCAGCACTGAGGGGCTGGAGCTGCCTCTGCTCCCCAGCTCCCCATCAGAGCCCCCCAGCCCTCACTGGGTGCTGGACCTAAAGCCCTCTTGGCTTTATGATCCCAGGTGGGAATTTTGGTTTCTGCTGCCAGGCCCAGTGGATGTTGGAGCCTGGAATCCCCCTGGGCACTGGTGAAGCTGGTCCCTGTACTGCTCCCCCAACACATGGGAATGTTTCATGGCAAAGTAACCAAACACAGTCAAACTCCTTGGAAACCTGGAGGAGTTATTTATTTGGTGCAAGGCAGAGTGTCTGTTTGAGGGGTTCACTCTGCACTGCTGTGCTCCTGCATTCCTTCTGTCCCTGTCCAGGACAGACTGCAGAGGTTTTGGGAGCTGGCAGGTGCCAGAGCTGTGCTGGTCCCAGCAGGAGGACCTGAGCACTCCAAGGCTGTGACCTGCATTCAGGCATTGAAATTTAATGGGTGTGAATTATCTCAATCACTGGAGGTGGGGAGGGTGTGAAGGGGGATGGTGCTGCTCCCTGAGGGCTGGGGGATGAGGGTCTGTTTCCCTTCTCCCAGCTGATGAGGGGTTTGCCAGGTCCCACAGTTCCAGGGGCCCCAGACTTTTGGAATGGCAGATGCCTGCAGAGTTCACCCTGGGAACCTGAGCTCTCTTCAGCCTCTTGTCCCGGGGAGGATGGCAGCAGGAGCAGAGGAGGGACCGGGACAAAAGCCTTTTCTTTCTTCTCTCTAAATAATTTTGGGTGTATATATAAAAAACCCAATCCCCAGCCCTAAACTACAAAATGAGGTGGAGGTGAGGGGGATCCCCCCCTAAATCCTGCTTGCAGCACAGACAGGTGAGGGGGCTGGAGCTGGACCTGCAGTCACTGGTGGAGGATGAAGGGGCTTAGGGAGGGGACATCTTGTCTGGGTTTATTGACTGGGGGCTGACTTTTCCTGCTCAGAACACATCAAAATACCCTCAGTTAATAAAAAGTGAAAATCAAAACCCGTCCCCCTGCAGGACTGGGGAGGGGCAGGGGCAGATTCCCGGGGTGGGAGGCCAGCCCTGACATGGCGAGGATGAGTCCTGTCTCCAGAACTTTGGGGTCTGCTCCTCAGAGCTCCTCATGGATCTTCTCCTGGTCCTCGTCCGACTTGAGCTTCAGCTCGTCGGGTGTGATCTTCCCGTCCTGGTTGCGGTCCTGGTTCCGGAACATGTCAGCAATGACTTTCTCCGGGTCAGAGCTGGGCATGAGGCGGCCTTTCCCCTCCGCCACCTGGGTCTTGATGAAGGTGGAGAACTGGAGAGGGGAGAGATGCTGCTTGGCTCCACGCAGCCAGCACTGGGCAGGGCAGGGAGCAGTGGCTGCCCTCGGGGACAGCTTTAGCTGTGGTGTTCATCCTGCACAGCTCTGCAGGCTCCCAGAGCCAGCAGTGCCCTTCAAGTGCTGCTGCCCAGGGTGGGGTCCCCTGTGCCCCCATTTCCTCCTGCACCCAACCGTTTGGCACCCACTCACCTCCTCAGCGGGGATCCCCCCATCCTTGTTGAGGTCCATCTGCTCGTACAGGTTGGCAGGTGGGTCCCCGTGCCAGATGAAGAGGTAGCCCTCAGGAACCCCCTCCTCCATGGAGATCAGCTCCACCTCGAAGCGGAGCACGGCGCTGCCAGGTACCCCCCGGGCTGGAAACACAGCAAAGGCTCCAGCACCGTGGGGAGCAAGGCAAAGCCCTGGCCCTGAGCCCCCCAGCCCTGGCAGAGCGAGGGGCGATGGAGCCCAGCGAGGCTGAACCACCCGCTTTGCTTTGCAGCGTTGGCTGTGCTCCCCTACCTCCGCTCTCGCCGTGGCCCAGGTGTGGGGGGACGATGAGCACCCGCCTCTCCCCCGCACACATGTCCAGGAGGCCACTGTTCAGCCCCTCGATCACCTTGTTGGCCCCCAGGGTTACCTCCTGGGGCTTCTCGTAGTCATGGCTGCAGGAGGCACAGAGGAAACAGTGCAGGTGAGAAAAGCCCTCGGATCTAGTGGGCAGCCCTGAAATCCCAACCCTCCATCCCACCATGGCCCAGAATCCCACATCCTCCATCCTGGTGTGCCATGAAGTCCCACACCCTCCATGCCACAGCCATGTCCATCCCTCTGTGTCCCTTGAACCCTCCTCCTGCTGCCCCGTCCTGGCGCTGATGCTCCAGCACTGCTCGTTGCTGTCCTGGTGCTGCCCGGTGCCCACCCCCGGCTCGGTGCCAGCCAGGGTTTGGCCCCAGGAGGGTCGGGAATGCTCGGGGCACGCACGAGGAGAAGAGGCGGGTGCCATCCAGCAGGGAGCAGTTGTAGTGGTAGCGCACAAAGTCCCGGTTGCGGGTGGTGACGTTGCAGCCCTCGGGCCGGAACACGGTCTGGATCTCCACCGGGTCCTCAGGGTTGTGGAAGTCGATGATGTGGACATCAAAGATGAGCACAGCTGAGCCAGGAATTTTATCTCCTGGAAGAGGAAGATGAAGAGAGCTGCTGGAGTGCTGCAAGGCCGGTGAAGCCTTTCCCTGCTTCTTCCCACATCCCTTGATGTCCCTCAGAGCCCTCTGCACATTTACCTGCGCCGTTCTCCCCATAAGCCAGGTGTGGGGGGATGACCACTCGCCGGTGCTCTCCCATGCAGACGCCCTGCAGCCCCTGATCCATGCCAGGGATGATGTAGCCCTTCCCAATGTAGGTGTTGTAGGTCTGATTGCGGGAGTAACTGCAGCAAGAGAACCCCCAGCACCATCAATCCCCTCAGCCCCTACACCCCAACCCACACCCCTTCTCCCAGCCTCTCCTGCTCCCACAGGAACCAGACTTTGCTCTGAGAGATGCAACAGACAGATATTGTCCTTTTTAGCCTATTGCATGCCCATTGTCCCCTCTGCAGTCTTTCCTTGCAGCTGTGGGGCAGGAGAGGACATCATGGGTTCTCCCTACACGGCCACCTCCTTCCACACCTGGAGTCAAAGAGTGTCCCATCCATGAGTGTCCCGTTGTAGTGGTAGCGGACAAAGTCCCCGGTCACAGCCCGGCGCGTGCAGGACTCCGGCACCTCCAGGTGCTCCAGAAACACACCGTCCTTGGGATTGTGGAAATCCACCAGCAGCACGCTGAACACCAGCGATGCCTGCGGTGGGATCACCGTCCCTGGGAGAGGACACGGGTCAGCCTGAAGCAGGGTCAGAGCTGGCAGGGAAGGGGCTGGCAGGATGGGGTGGTGCCTGGCTCACCGTAGCCCTTCTCCCCATAGGCCAGGAACGGGGGGATGATGATGCTCCTCTTCTCCCCAGCGCACATTCCCAGCAGACCCTGGTCCATGCCCTTGATCAGCCACCCAGTGCCCACGTAGGTGTCATAGGTGCTGCCCTTGCTGTAGCTGGTGGTGGACAATGAGGGTGGGGATGGCTCTGGGGCCACAGCAGCAGCCCCAGCCAGAGCAGCACTTAGCCAGAGGCTGGTTTGGGGGGTCATGGAGCTGCACCAGCCCTGCTGGGGAGCAGGGAGGGAGGACAGGGTGAGGCTGCTCTGACTGTGCCCAGGCTGGTGTCCCTGGGTCCCAGCCACCCCTAGAGGCCCAGTGTCGAGGCAGAAGGTGCATCCCAGCCCCACAGCCCCGTGCCCTGAGGCCAGGGTGCATACCTGGAGTCGAAGGGGGTCCCATCCAGCAGTGTCCCGTTGTAGTGGTACCGCACAAAATCCGAGTTCTCCACCGTGCGGTTGCAGCGCTCGGGTTTGGACAGGGTGGTGATCTGCAGCTTGTCGTTCTTGTTCCAGATGTCCAACATGACCACATCGAAGTACAGGGTGGCATCTGGGGGAATCAGCCCCGCTAAAGGGGCAGCAGCAAGGACAGAGCACCTTAAGCAGGACCAACACTGAGCCCAGGCCAGCCATGGGCTCTGCCCCCCGAAGCCTCCTCTGCACCCACCACTGCTCAGGGCTGCTGGAGACCCACGGCAGCCCCTGTGCTCTTTGCACTGGAGCTGCCCAGCCTGATGCAGGCCCTTGGCTCAGCACAGTCCAGCTGGGGGCAGGACCCCTCATTCCCAGGGAAGCCCCAGTTCAGCACCACTCGCCGTGGCCACGGAGCCACCCTTAGGCCACATCTGCCAGGAGGGCACTGGAGCCCTGTCCCTGCTAACACCAGCCCTGGGGGCTTTGCCCCCTCAGCCCTCCCGTGCCAGGCCCCTTACCCACGCCGATGCTGCCGTAGCCCAGGTGGGGCGGCACGATGAGGTGGCGCCGCTCGTTGACGCACATGCCCTGCAGCCCCCGGTCCATGCCCGTGATCAGCCGCCCAACGCCCACCACACCGGCCACCGTGGCCCCTCGGTCGTAGCTGGGGCAAAGGGACAGACCCATCAGAGCTGAGAAAAAGGATGGAGCTCCCAAAGCTGCCAGAGCTGGTGGGTCAGAGCAGAGGGACAGTGTGCGGGTCTCGCATCACAGCCTGAGTCCCTGTGTTGCAGGTAGAGCCCACAGCTCAAAAACCTGATCCTGCTGGGCTCAATCCCATGCTGCTGGAGGGCAGCTGGCCCTTGGGGCACCCCAGAAGCCATCCACACCCTCCCCAGATCTCACCCACTCAGCTGGGCTGGAGGCCAGCAGCTCTGGGGCTTCCTGCTGCTTCCAAATCATTTTGTATATGGCACACTGGAGCTTTACACAGTGATGAGGAAAGATGATGTCCCGGCCTCATTTTTAAACTGCAAATTTGTTTTTATTTTTAAACCTTAAAATACTCCAAGAAACTACTGGGGCAGTGGATGTCGTCCCAACAGAGAATTCTTTTAGCAGTGGGTGTCCCCAGGCTCCCATTGCAGTTAATTTCTCCCCCACTGATGCTCACAAGAAAGATACGACATATCAAACTGTGAATCCCTTTGCTTTCCAGAGCTCCAAAAAGAACCACCTGCCTGGGAAATTTTGATTGCTACGTGGCTCCAGTTATTTCTGCATCCCCAGTGCTCCCTCCTGCACATGGTGCTGCAAACCAGGGGCTGCCCCAACCCCGATTCCCAGCCAGCATGAGCAGAGCAGGGACAATGGAGGGGCCGAGGAACTCTGGGGCCAGCAGAAAAAGCCTCTGGTATAATGAAGGGGTTTGCCGCTGCCACGTCTCAAAGTGCTTTGAGCATTTTCCTGCCTATGCAGCACATGCAGATACGTGTTCCTGCGTGCAGAGCGTGCCAGTGAGGGCCAAATCCTGCCCTGGGGAGGCTATCCCACAGCTCTGCGGAGCTGCAGAGGTGCAGGCTCCCTCCCTGCAGGGCTGGCAGCTTCTGGCGGGGCATTCCAGGCTGGGGGGCTGCAGCCTGGGCTGGGGGGCTGCAGCCTGGGCTGGGGGGCTGCAGCCTGGGCTGGGGGGTCGCTTCAGGCTGACACGTGTACAGGGCTCCGGTGTCACCCCAGCAGCCACCAAGCCCTGCTCGGTTCCAAGCAGGGGGACCGGGCGTTGTCTGGCTGCCCCCGCCCCGGGCTGGGGGAGGGATGCGGGGTCCAGCAGCTGCCCCGGCATGCGGGCTGGGGGCTGGGGGAGGCATGCAGGGTCCCGCCGCACTGCCCCCCGCATGCAGCCGCCACAGAGCCGCGGGCGATACCTGGAGTCAAACTTTTTGCCATCTTTAAAGGTCCCATTGTAGTGGTAGCGAATGAAATCCCCCATCTGCGCCTCCCGCAGGCAGATTTTGGGAATATAGTATCTGTCTATCACCACGTCTTCTAAGGGGCCAGGGTCGCCCAGCGCCGGGGGCCCCAGGACGCTCAGGAGGAGGAGGAGGAGGAGGAGGAGGCAGCGGCGGCCGCCCGGGGCCATGGCCATGGCGCTGGGGATGAGGCGGCGGAAGGGCCCGGCCGGGGGAAGGAGGAGGGCTGGGGGGTTCAGGACGCCCCTTTCCTGCCCGGGACGCCCCTCTCCTGCCCGGGACGCCCCTTTCCTGCCCGGGTCGCCCCTTGCCTTCGCTTTCCCGAGCCTGCCCCTCCGCCCGCCCAGCCCGGCCCGGCCCGGCCCTCCTGCAATTTCTGTAGACGTGTCCGGGCCCCGCCGCGCTCCCCCCGCGCCGGGAACTGACACCGCGGCACGGAGCGATCCACGGCGGGAGGGGTTCTTCTTCTTCCCTCTTTTGTTTTTTTCCCCCTCCTTTATTTATTTCTCTTCTTTCCCCTTTCCCCCCTTTGCATCTTTTTTTAATCTCCTTTTTTTTCCTCCCCCCTCTCATTATTTACTCTCTCTTTTTTCTTCTTTTTTTTTTTTTTTCTTTTTTTTTTTTTTTTTTTTCCTTTTCTCCGAAGGAAAAGCTGACGGAGGTATTGGGAAGCAGCTGTGCGGCTGCAGGCCCAGCCCGGCCCTGCCCGGCCCTCCGTCCTAGCGCTGCTCTGCCTCCTCCTCCTTCTCTTCTTCCTTCTGCTGCTGCCACCCGGCCCAAGATGCTGCTGCTCAGTCTCAGCAGCTCGGGAGAGTAAATAAAAGGAATCGAGTGTTTTAATAACAAGTCTGCTGCTGGCAGAGCCTTTACTCAATAGCGATGATCAAAAATGTGAAATTCTCCCAGAAGTCCTTCGCAGACAAACACAGCCTCCAACACTCACAGAGGCGTTGCCCACACATCCCTACTCCCCAAAATCCATCAGCAAGAAACAAGTCCCGTGGCAAGAGCCTTTGGCGAGTGCCAGATGGGAATCATAACGGGCTGTGAACCCAACCCCAAATCCCAACCCAGCTCCTCTGGGAGTGAGAGCAACAGAGATCAACAGCTCCAGCAAAGCAGCGCCAGCCCCCAGCTCAGCCCCGGGGTGCTGTGCGGCCCCAGCACACCCCACACCGGGGCCGAGCACCTTCAGCACTGCCCGGAGCAGCCTGGGGGGACTCGTGGCTCTCCCGACGGCGCGGGGGCACAGCCTCGGTGCGTGCTGACAGGAGTGGTGGCACCCCAGCCGTGTGTGGCGCTGGGCACGGCCAGCAGTGTGCTGGCTCCTGCCCCGCGCTGTGACATCCCTCAGTGCCACCGTCCAGCCAGCGACAAAGCTTTGGGTTTGGGCCGGGGCCAGTGCGGCCATGCCGAGGCCTGGCACGGCACGGCACGGCGCGTGTGGCCTCGGGCTTGGCACCGGCCAGCGGCGGGGACAGCCCGGGCACCGCCGGCCCGGAGCGCCCGCCCGCGCACGGTGCCGCTGAAGCATCTCGCTCCGCGGCAATGCGGCGGAGCCCCGCGAGCCCCGCGGAGCCGCACAGACCCCGCGGGCCCGCCCCGCACCGCCCACCGCGCCCCCGCCCCTGCGCGGGGCCCGGCGCGGCGCTGCGCGGGCGGTGCGCGGGCAGTGCGCGGCCGCGGGCATGGGCGGCGCGGGGCCGGGGCCGGTGCCGGTGGCGCGGCCGCTGCCGGCGGTGCTGCTGGCGGTGCTGGCGGGGCTGTGCGCGGGGCAGTACGAGCAGTACAGCGTGCGGGGGTTCCCCGCGGCCGCGCTGGAGCCGCTGCAGAGCGCCTACGAGCGGGCGCTGGAGCAGTACGCGGCCGCGCAATGGGCGGACAGCGCTCGGGGGCTGGAGGCCAGCCTGCGGCTGCACAGGCTGCTGCGGGACAGCGAGGCGCATTGCCACCGCCGCTGCGCCGCGGAGCCCCCCGCGGGGGAGGATTCCGCCGAGGAGCCGCGCGGGGAGCGGGACCCCGCGTGGGAGTGGGAGTGGGAGCGGGAGCTGCGGCTCTTCGGGCGGCTGCTGCTCCGCGCCGGCTGCCTGCGCGCCTGCAAGCAGGAGCTGCCCGTGTTCCAGCTGCGCTACCCGCCGGCGCAGACCCTGCGCGACTTCCAGCGCCGCCAGCCCTACCAGTACCTGCACTACGCGCTCTTCAAGGTGAGGCGGTGCAGTGGGCAAAGGAGGGGTGGCGGGGGGGTCTTGCTCTTCTATCCTGCACCGCTGATCTTTCCCCTCCATCCTGCACCCCTCCACTCTGCTCCCTGATTGTGCACACCCCTTCCCGTGTGTCTCATCCCGTGCTGCTCATCCTACAAATCCTCTTTCACACCCCCATTCTGCATCCCCGTCCTGTGCCCTCATCACACACCGTCAGCCTGCACCCTCCCATCTGCCCACCCTGAATGCTGCTCCCATCTGTCTCTGTGCCCCCTGAACCCTGCCCCACTCCATCCTGCACCCTGCTGTCAGGTGCTTCCCCTTAACTTCACTCCCCATCTGCTATCCCCGCCAGCTCCTCCATACTGCCCCTGAGCCACGGCACGTCAGCGTCATCTGGGACACATCAGGCAGGACAACTGGGGGCCCTGTGGTTGCGTCCCTCTCCCTCACCTTGTGTTGCCCTGGTGCCCCAAGGTCTCCCTGGACAGGCAGAGCATTGCCTGGGGAGAGCACACAGGGGCTGGCCCAGCTTGAGGGGCCTGAGCTGGAGGGTCCAGGGCCTCTGTGATTGTGATGGGACACGTGTCTGGATGCTCCATGAGAAAGAAGGACTTGCTCAGCTTCACAGTGAAGACATGGAGGGACATTTTGTGGAAGGATTTTTCATAAGGCATCCCCCCTGGGTGCCCATGTGTTGGCCAGAGGGGACAGTCCTCTGGTCAGGGTGCTGCTCCCTGGCCGCCTGCCACTGCGGGTGCTGTTTTAGCACTCAGCACTGCAGCTCCACTCACCTGGCAGTGCTGAGGGACTGCCTGGCTTCATCCTTAATGCCTTTTCCTCTTGCTGCTCTGGCCCAAACCCATTTCATGGACGGGTTGTCCAAACCACCCTCCCTCCTTGCTCACTCCCCTGAAGCTGCAACCCAAGAGCCCATAAAGCAGCAGGGGCAGCAGCCAGATCTGATGGCAGTGCTGGAGAAGAGTGGATGTGTGGGTCAAACCCACACCATGTGGATCCACCTCACACCACGTGGATCGCTCCTGGCTGGATGTGTGGCTGAGCTGTCCCTGTGCCCAGCATGGGCACAGCCCGGAGGTTGGTGTGGCTGGAGCTACCAGCAATGTCCATGTTCCCAAATCCTGTCTGTTCATCACTGCTAATGGCCGACTGTGCAGCGTGGGTTCAGGGCTGCTCCCCACAAGGATCTCCCCTCTGTCCTGCAGCTCAGGGGTCTGGCTGGGTGCTGAGGCCCCCTTGGGTGCGTGTGGCTCAGGCTGCCCTGCAGCAGGTCTCTGCACTGGCTCCTCCTCCCTCCACAGTCAAATAAGATCGAGAAAGCGGTATCTGCTGCCCACACCTTCCTGCAGAAGAACCCCAAGCATGAGATGACCTTGAGGTACCTGAACTACTACCGGACGATGCTGGATGTGGATGAATACCTGGTCGACCTGGAAGCTCAGCCCTATGAGGTGAGGAGGGGATGGGGCTGGGGCAGGAGAGGGGCTCCCCAGGGCTCGAAGCACGCCTGGTGCTGCCCAGCCCCGAGGGAAGCAGCTCTCCCTCACTGAGCAGTGACCCTCGCAGCTGATATTCGTGCGGTCAGTGAAGCTGTACAACAGTGGGGATTTCCGGAGCAGTGCAGCCGACATGGAGCAGGCACTGGCTGAGTACTACAAGGCCTACGAAGATTGTCTGGCCGGCTGCGAGGGCGCCTATGAGCTCCAGGAGTTCAAGGACTTCTACCCTGCCATCGCAGGTAGTGGAGGGCCGGGGGACGGCAGATTGGGGAGGTGATCAGTGGTGCAACAGCCGACATCTCCCCCCAGACCACTTTGTGAGTGTGCTGCAATGCAAGGTGGACTGCGAGACCGAGCTCACCCCCAACGTGGGCGGCTACTTTGTGGAGAAGTTTGTGGCCACCATGTACCACTACCTGCAGTTCGCTTACTACAAGCGTGAGTGCTGGGGCGAGTGGGGAGCTGTGCCCTGGGGCACCCTGGGGTGCCGTGGCCCTGGGAGGGGTGTCACCCCATGTCAGCTGGCGCTGTCCCCGCAGTGAACGATGTGCAGGACGCGGTGCGCAGCGTCTCCAGCTACATGCTCTTCGACCCTGGCGACACCGTGATGCAGCAGAACCTGGTCTACTACCGCTTCCACCGCGAGCGCTGGCGCCTGCGCGAGGAGGACTTCGAGCCACGGCCGGTGAGGACCCCCCAGCCCCCCGTCCTGTGGCCCTGAGCTGCCCAGAGAGGAGCTGACCAGCCCCTGTGCCCGCTGTGCCCAGGAAGCCGTGCGCTACCACAGCCAGACGGCCGCTCAGAAGGAGATGCTGGAATTCGCCCGGCAGTACCTGCAGGAGGATGATGATGAGGTACCTGACACGGGATGCAGATGGTGCTTTTGGGGGTGCTGGGTGGGGTGTGTGGGTGCTGCAGGGACCTTTCTCAGATGGAGGTCTGACCCCCCAAAGCAGCCCTGCAGCAGAGACTGCAGATGAGGCTGCCGAGCTCCTCTGCCTCCTCCTGCCCTCCTGTGCTGCAGATGGAGGTGGATGGTGCTGAGGGGCCAGAGGTGCTGGACCTGCCCTCCGATGGCGAATTTGAGGGTGAAGGTGACTACGAGGAGGGTTTCTTCGCAGAGTGGTGGCAGGAACCCAAGACCAAAGGAGACAAAGATGACCAAGGTTCCTGATACCAGGGCTGGGGGTTGTGCTGTAGGGTCGGGGGGTCTGCTGCCCACACCCCTGGTGCCACCAAACTCTCCTTGTTTGCAGAGATCCTATGATGAGCCAGGTGAAGGGGGAGCCAGCACCAACTGAGCTGGACGGTGGTGACTCTGTGATGCCATCTTGGGGACATCGGGCTTCTGGCTCCTCCCAGCCACCGGTAGAAACTCAGACTCACGGGGAGGGGCCAGTCCTGCCTTGCATCCTGCGGTAGGGCTGCTTTTGCCACCTGGATGTCTGCTGTCCTGGCACAGCCCAATTCCCATCCGTGGAACACCAGCATCCCTGAATGTCCCTGCCTGCCCAGGAGCCTGGGCTACCCCCACCCCCAATTCCCCAGGAGCCCTGACCAGCAGTGATGTCCCACAGCACTGGGGTTTTCTGTGTCCCTCAGCTGCTCCCCAGAATCTGTGGATGATGCACCAGAATTGACCCCTATCTTTTCTTGAGGGGCTTGAGGGCTACCCCTACTTTGGGAGCAATGCACAGTGCTGCTGGAGCTGATCCTGCCTCTTCCTGAGGCTCCCTGAGGCTCCTGCTCCTCTTCCTCCAGCCTCCCAGGCAATCTGACGGCTCCCATAGCCCAGGTCCCCTTGGACTCCCTGGCCTGGTGCTACAGGGGGCTCCCAGTGTGCCACATCCCCGTGTCACCATGGGGCTGCAGCCTGGGGAGGCTGTGGTGCCCATGCCCTGCCTGTGCCTTGAATTTTTGCCACACCAGCCCTCTCTAGCCTTAAGCTCCATTAATTTAAGATTTTCCCTCTTGCACCGTTGCTCTTTTTATATATTTACTGGTGCTGAACTTTTAATAAAATCCAGACTGGTCTTTTCACGGCTGCCTCCACTCTCCATATGCTGCTGCCGTGGGATCCAGGAGCACAGGGTAGGTGGTAGGAGAGGCCCTGCTGTGGGAGAGGAAGGGATGGGTTCAGGCCTGGATGTCCCCACAGATAACCCATGGAGGCCGTGGCAGCAGCCAGGCTCCTGTGAGGCTCTGGGTTCCGTGAGGGGGACCCCAAATGGGATCCATGACGCCCTCACTGAGTCTGTCAGGTGAGGTGGGGGGGAGCTGCAGGGGGCTGGAGGGCAGCATGTCCTACCCCATGTAGGGGTCTTTGGGATGTAATACCCATGAGCTGATGGTTGTTTTGGGGTACAACACTGTGACACCGCTCCTGGATCAGAGGGTGCAGCCTGCGTCCCCCGATGAAGGTGGGCATGGCAGGGTGGGATGACCTCCTCCTGCATCAGGGTGTTGTGGGGCACACTGGGGGTCTCTGTTGGTGCTGACAAAGCTATGCCAGTCCCAGGCACAGGCATCAGGCAGTGTGTGGCCGCTCACTCCTCCCTGCTCTGCTGCTCGGTGTGGAAATTGGCCACGAGGACTGAAACTGAGAGGCTGAATCACAGCGTTGGCCCCGGGGGAGGGAAGGGATGGGAATGGAAGGAAGAGGGTGGCAAGAGGCTGCCAGCACCCCACCCTGCCCTGCCTGGAGCCCCTGCTCACCGAGGCTTTTCCAGCTCTGCAGGGCACTGGGCGGGGGGCAGGGGCTGAGCCCCCAGACCCGTGGGCAAAGCTCAGGGCTTGGGGAGGCAGTGCTGGAGGGAGCACCCACTGCACCCCTGCACCTGCCAGGGCTGTCCCGTCACTTGGGAGGAGCTGGGTTTGTCACCGATGGGTCACAGCCACCTCGGGAGGGGAGTGCCAGCCCGGTGGGGTGTGGCCAGCGGAGAGCGCTCAGCCCAGGGCTGGCACCGCAGCCCAGGGGACAAAGGCCTGCGGATCTTCCCAACAGCTGGGCGAGGGTGGCACTGGGCCCACGGGGCCTCCGCCCTGCTCTGACACACACCTGGGCACCGTGTCCCCTCCCCAGCCCCACACTCACGAGGAGAAAACAGCCCCTTGCTCCCACCGATCTGCTGGCACCGGGCAAAGCCCCTTGCAGCTGTGAGCGGGGGTGCCGGGGGTCCCTTCCCTGCTCCCCCGGAGCTGCTGGATGTGCGGGATGCTGCATCCATCACACCGGGAGTGCCACACACACTGGGATGGGATGCAGAGTGACTGACGGGGACACGGAGCAGGGCTGCAGGAAGCGATGGGTTACATGGTGAAGGCATCATCGCGCTCCCCTCGACCTTGACCAAGAGGGGAGTGTGAATGAGATGTGTGGCTGCCGCCTCCCCTGCGCTGTGCCGTGTGCCCATTTCCTTGTGCCCAGGGCTCTCTGGCTGTGCTCCGGATCTCCCGCTCAGCGCACAGCCATGAATTAATTCCCTTTTTCTTGCAGAGGCGGTGGAAGCTCTGTCTCTCACCTCCCTCCGGAGCCGAGAATCCCCGCCTGGCAGCGCTCGCTGCCAGACGTAGCAGGGAGCCGTGCAGGCAGCGGGCGTGCAGGATGCTCCCTCCTCATCCTCACCGGGGCAGAACCCTCCTGCTCCCCGCACCTGGGGGTCCTGAGGTGGGCTGGGACGTACCCAGTGGGTGACTCGGGCACTGAGTGACGGCGGCTTCGCTCGGGACGCGGCAGCAGCACCCGGCTGGACCGGTCCGGCGGGGACCGGGCTGACGCAGCGCCAGCAGCCCCGAGCCCTTCCCGAACGCCGCTTCCTGTCGCCCCCGCGCTCCTGCCCCGAGGGGTCCCCGCACGGCCGGAGGGTCCCCGCACGATCCGGGGATCCCAGCACGGCCCGGCGGTCTCCGCACGATCCGGGGGTCCCCGCACGGCCTGGGGGTCCCCGCACGATCCGGGGGATCCCAGCATGGGCCGGGGGTCCCCGCACGATCCGGGGGTCCCCGCGCCCCCGGGGCGGGTCCCGGCCCCACCTGACCGCGCCCACTGACGTCACCCAGGTGGTCCCCTCGTGGTCGCGCCCCGCCCACCCCGGCCCGGTGTCCAATCAGCTGCGGGCGGAGGGCGGGACGGCCGCGCCCCCGCCAATGGGGAAAGAATAAACACGTTCGGCGGGGGCGGGACCCGGCGGGACCAGCGCTTGATGGGCGTGCGGAGCAGCCAATGGCGGAGGGGCGGCGCGGGGGCGGGGCCTGCGGCGGGCGGGGCGGTGCGCGGGGCGCTGCTCGCCTTTTGTTCGGGCAGGAGCGGCGGGCGGCGGAGAGCGGCGGTGAGCGGGGCCGGGACACCGGGACACCGGGCACGGGCGGGGAGGGACGGTGAGTGGGGCCGGGGCACCGGGCACGGGCGGGGAGGGACGGTGAGTGGGGCCGGGACACCGGGCACGGGCGGGGAGGGACGGTGAGTGGGGCCGGGACACTGGGCAGGGAGGGACGGTGAGCGGGGCCGGGGCACCGGGCACGGGCGGGCAGGGACGGTGAGCGGGGCCGGGACACCGGGGCACCGGGCACGGGCGGGACGGTGAGTGGGGCCGGGGCACCGCGCACGGGAGGGACGGTGAGCGGGGCCGGGGCACCGGGACACCGGGCACGGGCGGGGAGGGACGGTGAGTGGGGCCGGGGCATCGGGCACGGGCGGAGAGCGGCGGTGAGCGGGGCCGGGACACCGGGCACGGGCGGGGAGGGACGGTGAGTGGGGCCGGGGCACCGGGCACGGAAGGACGGTGAGTGGGGCCGGAGCGCCGGGCCGGGCGGCGGCGGTGAGCGAGACTGGCGCGTCGGGCACGGGGAGCGACGGTGAGCGGGGCGGGGCACCGGGCATGGGGAGCGACGGTGAGTGGAGCCGAGTCAGGGAGCATCGGGCATGGGGGAGCGGCGGTGAGGGGCAATAGGCCGGCTGAACCGGGCAGGAGTCACTCCGGGTCCGGAGGGCCGGGCTGGCGGAGGTCGCGGCGGGGAGCGGTCGGTGAGCAGAGTTGGGGCGGCCGGGACGGGGCCAGGTCCGTGGCCGTCCGTCGTTCCGGGCTGGGCTGCACCGGAGCGGCGGGGACTCCGCCGTGCGGCGCTGGGGAGCGGCCGCTCTCGGGCGGGGAGGAGTTGGGTCCGGGCCGGGCAGCACCGGGCGTCCCGGCTCGGCCCCGCTGCCGTGGTCTGGGGCAGAGCTCCCCGTGTGCTGCCCGTGAGCTGGGCGGGTCCCCGGGGCTTCCCCCATGGCCAGCGGGGCTGCCCCGGCCCCTTCCCAGTGCCGCGGGGTCCGGTTTGGAGTCGCGGCTCCGCGCTCCCGTACGAGGCGGTGACTCTGTCCCCGGCCCCGCCCGGAGCTGCCGCGGAGCGGGCGAGGCCCTGGCACGGCGCTCCGCCGGTGCTGTGGGGCTCTTGCGCAAACGGGACTGCTCCGTGCCCGGAGTCACACCTGGGGACACCGCGTGCTGCTCTCGAGGCCGCCCCGGACCGCTCCGACATCGCCGTCCCCACCCGCGGGGCCGGGGCTGCACTCCGCCCAGCGCCTGGCGTGTGAGGTCTGGGGGCTGAGAGGGGTTTGGGTGACCTGCCATCACCCAGGCAGCCCCCCGCGGCTGAGGGGTGCTGGGCACAGGGCTCACGGGGGGTTCGGGTGACCTGACATCACCCAGACAGCCCCCCGCGGGTGAGGGGTGCTGGGCACAGGGCTCACGGGGGTCCCAGCTGAGCCCCTGCCAGCGGACATCCGCACCGCGAAACGATGGGGGGAGCGAAACTTGGCTGTTTGTCTGATGTTTAGAGAGGAGGGAGCGCTCTAATTGCGTTAGCTGAGTGATTAGCTTAATTAATCAGGTTTATAGCACAGATGAAAGGATAATGCTGAAATGTTGCTGGGAGTTGCCCGGAGAAGGCAAACGTGGGCTGTCATACGAGCAACGTGGGGCGATGTATGCTGACAGAGGAGTGTGAACGCTCAGGAGGGCACGGCTGCTGCTGGAGACGGGACAGGGTGACCTGTGCCACCGTTGTGCCTACCCGAGTGTGAGGGCATCAGCCTGCACCCTCTCCAGCCAGGCTGGAAGTTCCTGCACCCCCAGCTTCCCTGTAACGCTGTTGGGGTGCCTGGCTGAGTCCTGTGCCTGGTTTCATGTTCCCTTGTCAACTTCCCCATCCCAGAAGGGTGGTGGGGGCTGGGGACGCCCTGTGACACAGCCCCGCAGTGGCTTCACCTCCTGCTCCAGCCCACATCGTGCTGGTTTTGGCGCTGGTGCCAGCCCCGAGCAGCTCGGGGCTCTGTGTCCGTCTGGATGGGCCGGTGGGGAGCCGGGGGCGCGGCGTGTCCCCGCCAGCTGCCGCGGGGATGGGGATGGGGATGGGGCTGGAGCGGTGCCGGGCGTTTGCTCCGGGCTGGCAGCCGCATCCAGGGCAGGTGCCGTGTCCGCGGGGGCTGCTCCAGGCTCCGCTCCCGGAGCGTCCGGCCCAGCAGGAAACAGGGATGAGAAAATTACAGGGGTCCATTTCTGTGTCCTTGTCGGTGTCGGGGCTGGCTGGAAGGGTGCAGGGCACCCACTGGAACTGCGTTTGCACATCTGAAGCATGTTATCCCTGCTATCGCTCATTGTTTTGGAGGATTTCCATGAAGTGTCATGAAAAACCCATTTTTACTGCTAATTTGGATTAAACAAGTTGGCCATCAGGACGGGGACGCACAGAGCTCCTGGCAGCCGTGGCTGAGGGTTGTGCTCCCTCCTTGGGCTGTGGCTGCTGTGCGGGAGCGGGGACAGACGGGGGTCCCCGGGGCTCAGGGCGCTGGGGAAAGGTGGGGCGGCCGTGCGGGGCCCTCCCTCAGACAATGGCGTTACAGCCTATTGTCTGGGCGATGTGCCGTGTCCTTGCCGGCTCCAGGAAGCGCCTTCATCCCCGGGAGGGGGTGGGGGGACGAGCTGGGCTGCTGGGAGGGGTCTCCTGGGGCTGGGTGTGCGAGTAGTTTGTGCTCCGTGCCCGGAGCCTCCGGGGCAGCGCGGCTGAATCGTGGCCGGGCTGCAGCGGGGGCCGTGGGGGATGTCCCCGCTGGTCCTGGTGCCGCATTTCAGTGCATCATTCGGCGCTGCCCTAATCCCATTAACTCACCCCTTTGTTTCCCCCACCTGAAACCCCTCCTCAGCCCTCGCTCGGGCAGGCACTGCGGTACAGCTGCACGGCTCCTGCAGCTCAGCCCGTTCCCGGGAGGACGGCTTCCCTTCGAGACTGTGGTTTGCTGTGGGAGCGCTTGATGGGATTTGGCTTTTTATCACACTTCCAGATCTCCGGGATTTAAGACGGCGCTTTTGCCGGGCGCGCTGCCGCTCGCAGATGGCAGAGCCTGGGAGCGAAGCTGCCCTTGGCCCCGCTCCGCAGGCTGGGGGAGCAGAGCCTCTGCACAGAGAACTCTGCACAGAACTTTAATTGCAGCATCTCTACCGACGCTTGTGCTGGTTTTGAAGGTTTAAATTATACTGGCTTCTAATTAACAGAAGTTAAAAAGAAATGTAGTGTTTGTTACAGCAGTACAAGTCTACCTCTGAGTTCAGGTGGTGCTTCCCCACCTAGACAGGGTGTGTGGGCACCCAGCATCACCCAGGGCTGGGGTGGGTGGTCAGACTTAGTCCCGTGGGGTGTCCCAGGTGGGTCTTTTTGAATGGAAATGGCTGGGAATGGTAGCTCGGGAGGACACCGGGGCTGCATTGGTGCCTTGAATCACGTTCTCTGCTCTGGGGGGTTTGTTTTTATCCCTCTTTGCTCATGGACATACTTAACAAAGTGGTGGACAAGGACGTGGGAAGGTGCAGGTACTCCCACTCCAAAAAGGCTTAAAACTTGACCTCAACACCGTGTCTGTGCTTAAACAGAGCTGGCTTTGCAGCCACACCCGGTTTGTCGATGGCTGCGTGGAGCCGGCGGGGGGAGGTGAAGATGTTTCTATTTAAGCAGAGGTTTGAAATACCCTTCTAAATCCACCATCCCCGATGGGTTCTGCGGCTGCTGGCGGGCCTGGAGGCATCCTGGCACGCCTTGGCCTCGGCTCTGGAATGGCTTTGGAAGCAGGGCAGGATCCTCGCTCCGCGGCTGCCGGGGCTTGTCGGGCAGCCCGTGACATCTGCGCTGTCTGTTCCCTCCTCGCCTCCTTCCCAGAGCCGCAGCTCCTGGCTGCTGGAGGCGGAATGCTCGGGTGTTTTCCCAAAATCCCACGTTTGCTGCTCAGAGCTGCCAGGGGGTGACGGTGGCCGTGCCCTCCAGGGGGGCTGCCCCAGTGCTGGGGCACAGATCCCGTGGGGTGGGTGCTCTGGGGTCCCGTGTGGCTTTTGGGGGTAGGTGTGGATGGAAAGCGTGTTTTTCTGCGTGGGGGGAGAGACCTTTGGCTGCTGGCAGAGCCTGCCGTAATCGCGGTGACGCGCGGGCAGAGCCCTGGTGACAAATCATTAACTTGCTCCGACAGGCCGGGTGCTGACGGCTGTTGGTGATAATTTCTTGTGAAGCGTCTGAACTTTGCAGCTGTAATGCAACTGGATGGAGAAATTAAGCTGGGGCTCAGCACCTCTGTGCCCCTCCTCGCTGCCCCAGCTCCTCTGGCAGGGCCAGGTGGCAAACCCTGTGTCCTGGCCTGGGAACAGCCAGCAAGGTCCAGAGCCTGCAATTATAGTGTTCTTAAAGAACAGCTTGTTCTTTGTGCTCATTGAAACAAAATAATGATTTTTGGTTTTTTTATCCAGATGGAGTAATTGTGATTAATCTCACCATGCCAGTTCTTGTTTCCATGAACAAGTGGCAAATTCCCATCTTTCCCAGACATGATTCTAATGAGATCAGCAAACCCTGAGGAGGAGATGAGCCCATGTGGGTCCTCCTGATCCTGCAGCTGGAGGTGTCTGTGCCAACAGCTAGTGATGTGGAGAGGGGGATGTGCTGCTGGAGACCCCACGGTGGGTCTTTGGCAGGTGGATGTCCCTGGGAAAGCCTTCCCTGGGCTGAGGGTGCTGCTGTGGGCCGTGCCCCTGCACAGGAGCAGGGGTGGGTGTCATGCTCAGTGCTGTGTGTGCACTTGCAGTGGGAGAGCACTTGATGGATAATACTGTGTCAGTTTGTGATGTGAAGTGCCAAAACATCACAGCCTGGGCCTGGCATGTGCTGGAGCTGTCAGGAGCTGTTAATTCAGGTACAGGCGAGGCGTTTTGGGGACATGGTCTGGGTTGATGGAGAGCATCAGCTGAGCGCAGCAGGTCGTGGCAGAGTTGCTGCATTCTGGGGCCACTTTGCTGCCAGAGCCTGGTCTGGTGCTCAGGGGGATGCAGCACCCCCAGCAAGAGGAGCTGGAGCTTTGCATGAGGCATTCAGCAGCTCAAATATAGCAAAATCATGGTAGCTGAAATATGAAAAAGGTTTGGAGCCCCCTCCAGTGAAGGAGGCTGAATCTGAAGCTCCCACACCCCACTGAGTGCCCTGAAGTTGTCAGAGCTGGTGGGGCAGCTGGGAGCCCTTCTGGACCAGGGTACATCCATACAAAAAGGCCGTGGGCTCCTTTGTGTGCAAGGCCAGGCCAGTGGTTTTGCCTGCTCTAACGAGAGGCTGATCCCCTGCCGCTGTCTCCTCCTCATTAAAACTTCAAGCTGCTCTCATTCCTCTTTGAATTCTTCCACTCATCTTCCCTGTAAAGCCCCATTGAAAGGGCTCCTGGTGCTGGGATCTGACTCAAACGCTTCCCATTGATGCTGGTGAGGTCTTGACAAGCTCCTTTCTCTGCCTGCTCCCGCTGCGTGTTCCTGAGGATCCTCTTCAAAACCACTGAAGCTTTTGTACAGCGTCTGCGGGGCCTTCATTAGTGGCTGCCCCAGCTTCGTCAGCCCTTGGTGTCACTTCAGAGCACCCTTGGGCAGGGCTGTGGTGTTGGGGGACTTTGAGGTGCAGCTCTGCAGGGTGCACAGGGCTCTGGGTGTCCTTGCTGTGGGAAGACTCTGTCCTGTGGCTGTCCAGGCCAGGGCTGTCTGAGCGGGCAGTTGCTAATCCCTGGCTGCTCCAGGAAGGGGGGGACCGGAGATGGCTTCTGTGTGGTGTAAGTGCTTCTAAAATAGAGTCTTTTCTTGTGCTGCATTTATTGAATTGCCTTAACTGCCTCTTCCCTTTCCTTAAAAGCCTTGGCGACTGTAATTGCAGCCACTCGCATGCTCCCACCACTGAGCTCAGCCCCTCGCAGGCTGTGGCTGCATGAGGGGCCCTCCCCAGCGCTGTTGCCCTTTGCTCCTGGAGGATGTGAGTGAGGGCAGGGCTCTGGGGGGCTCTGGCAGCCCCCTGCTGGGCTGAGGGCAGGCTGGACCTGCGTGTGATGAGCTCAGGCTGCCCCTCACACCCACTGACCCTGAGACCTGGTGCCTGATCTAGTGCAGCCCCTGCTTGGTGCTTGTGAGGGTGTCCTGTGCCCCCCACCTGCTCCCTTGGGGTGACCCCACACTGGGGATCACAGCTGCTCACCCCAGGGACTGCTGCTGCCCCTGAGCAGTGGATATTTCTGCATGAAGCAGCACTCGCTGCTTTCCTGCTGCTGTTCTGGGCAGCTCAGCCCTGTGTGCTGGCTGTGTCCTGCCTGGTGAGGCTGAAGGCTTCACAGCAGCTGGTGAGAAGGGCTAGTCAGGCCTGGGGCTGCATGTTTGCCAGAGACTTCCTCCGCAGACGGTGTCCCGGGGGGCCGGTGCTGCTTGGATGCTGATCAAATGGCTCCGGGGGCGGATGAGCTGCTGGCCGGTGCCCACAGCCTGCGGGAGCTTCCTCTGCCTTCCTGGCTCAGGGAAGTGGTGGGAGAGGGATTAACCTTTTCCTGGCAGTGCCCTGCTTGAGTGAATGAAGACCCTGCCTGTCCTACATCCCATGGCTGAAGCCCCTCGGGTGTCTTGGCCCCTTTCCCATTGTGGTGCAGGAGCAGGCTGGAGGTTCTCCCCAAACCTGCTGTCCCCTCTGAACAGTCCCCCACAGCTGCCTCACTGGTTTCTGGGGTATTTCTCACTGTTCCCAGGAGCAAGTCTTGTTTCCCTGGGGTCTAGGTCTGTGTGCAGTGGGGCTCAGGTGAGGCCTGGTGGCACCATTCTGCCCTCGCTGTTCTCCCCTTCCCACTCCACCAGATTGGTGGGGGAAGGTAAGGGCTGGGCTCAGCAGCAATCATTCTGCCCACAGGCCTGACGTGGAGCCCACCCAGACGTGCCCCATGCTGGTGGCTGACCCTTCAGTGTGGATATTTTCACATGTGCCCCAAATAACACCCTGTTTCTCCCTCCTGCATGAGGGTCCTTTCCTGCTGCAGCACCTCCCTAGAAACATTGCCAGGAAATGGCTCCTGGTAAGGTGAACCCAGGTGTAACCAGCACCCCGGTGCCCCTCTCCTGCTGATCCTGCTGAGGAGGAAAGAGGACACCTGAGGACAGAGCCAGGCTGTGGCAGATGGAGGAGAAGCTTGTGTCAGTGTCTGCCCCTCACGGAGTGATGAGCAGGGCATGCTTGACGCAGGGTTCAGAAAATGTCACCGCTCACTGCAGGAGCATCTGGCATTTGCTCCACTGGCCCTGTCACCTCAGGTGCTGTTGGCCTCGCTGGCCCCTGTGGCAATGAGCAAAGGCTGTTGGGGGGATGCTCAGGGGAAGGACAGGTGCCCGTGTCCCTTCTGTGGGGCTCCTGGTCCCACTCTCCTGCTTGGAGCTCGTCTGGGGCCGATCACCAGAGCTCATGTCTGAGCTCAAGGAGCTGTACTGGCTTTTGATGTCCCTGGGTGCTGTGGTGCAGACAGAAGGGGTGGCTCATGCATAATGCAGGCCTCTGTACGGTGTCTGAGCCCAGCTCCTGGAGGTTTGGAAAATTAAGTGCCTGTCTGATGCCTGTAAATTGTGAAGCGGATGTCAGTGCTCACCAGTGGTGCAGCAGCATCAGCCCCTGCCACATCTGTCTTGCCCTGGCCCTGGTTGTTGGTCTGTACTGCCCTCAGCCCTGCTCTCCCTCCGCCCACCTTATCCAGGGCAGCTTTCCAGTGTGTGCCTGGGGTGCTGGGGCCCTGCTGCCGGGGGTGGGATGGGTGCCAGCTCACCCAGCACCATGGTGATGTGCCCTGCCAGTGCCACAGAGCCCTCTCCTGCCTACCACTTCCACACTTCGTTAGGACTGTTGCTTCTCTTGAGTTTCCCAACACAATTTGGAGACTCTGCCACCGTGGCCAGGATGACCCAGCTGAAGGACTTACCCTCCCAAATACCAACACAGCAGCGCCCAAGTGCGGGTGTGCGGCACTCCCAGCTCCGCTCCGGGGCTCTCGGGGCCCATCCCTGCTGCCACGCGGGTGGGGAGCGGAGCTGTCTCTCCTCTGCCCCTGGCACCATGTGTCACACGCTGTCCTGCCCCAGTGATCAGATACCCAGCTCCTGCCCGCCCTGGGAAGCTCTGCCTCCACCGCCCCCCATTAGCGGCTCCTCCGTTGCCTGACCACCGCGCATTCTGCACGGCCCATTATTGCTGCTCTGGCTCTGCCGGTGCTGCTTGACAGCTCAGAAAATCTCGGGTTGGCAGAGCAGCGCCCTGCCGCGGCTCCGGGAAGGCGGCGGGGACCGGGGCTGGGCGCGGGGGGATGCGGGATGCTCCCAGCCGGGGAGACAAACGTGGGGGGCTCCTGTTTCCCATCTGGCCGCTGCTCCCGGGGGTGAGGGCTCGGCATTCCTGCCTGCCTGTGCAGCCGGTGGGGCTCGGCCGCTCCTCGGTGAGCCGCGCCCAGCCCGTGCCGCCGTGCCCCGCGGAGCCGCCCCGCGGAGCCGCCGCCCCACCGACGCCCTGACTCAGCCGCCGGCCGGGCGGGGGCTCCGCTCCGTGTCCCGGGGCCGCTGGGGGCCGAGGCTGCCGGTCCCTGCCGGTCCCTGCGGGTCCCGCGCGGTGCTGGCGGCCGGAGCGGAGCCAGCGGTGCGCGGGGCCGGTGCAGCCCGGTGCAGGGATCGGGGCCGGTGCAGGTGCTAATTCGGCTGTTTGGAAGTGGGTGCTGCTCCGCCCAGGTATGCCGGGCGGCAGCTGCTCCCTTCGCTGCTTATCGCCTCTGAAACTCTGACTCATTCCACTCCTGCGGGCCGGGAAGGGATAGGAATCCCGGCTGATGGCTCAGCGGAGGGCCGGGCGGGTGCTGTCTCCATCCCTCCTTCCCTGCCTGCCTCCAACCCTCCCTCCCCGCCTGCCTCCATCCCTCCTGGTCCTGCCGGCGGCCTGGATGCAGGGCTGGTGACTCACAGCCCTGAGTGAGCTCAGACATTAATCCCTGAGCCATCCTCCCTCCCCCTGTATCTCCAAATTAAAGACAAGGAAATCCCAGCCCTGCTCCCAGCAACCTCGGCTGGTTTGTCCTGAGTGTTGGGATGTGCCGGGCTGCCCTGTCCTGGCACTGAGTGGGGAGTGCCCAGCCCCGGACCACACCGTGGGCACCTGTGGTGCTGAGCACCCATGGGAGAGCTGAGCCAGTGGCTTTGCCTGCTTATTTTTAGGTGCTTTAGGAGTGTCCCAGGAAGTTTCTAAAAAGGTTCATTTTATGCTTGGAGCTCCAGCCATATGGAGCTTGGAGCTCCTGGCATGTCCCCAGCTCTTTGCAGGTTGTGTCTCTGGAAAGGGTCTTAAAAAAGCTCACGGGCAGCCAGGGACTCTGGAGCTTGTGGTGTCCCAGTGTGCGGGGCAGAGCCTGCCCACACCCTGGCCATGGCAGCGGTGAGACACAACGCTGTGAGACGCAGCCGCGGTTCATGTCTCAACACGAGCAACAAAGTGCTGAGCTTTGGGTTCGTCATCCCGGTGCCGCCTTTCATCTCCAGTGGGGGAGGAGGGCAGATAGGGATCGGCTCCATCTGCTCGTGGGCTGCTGCTGCAAGGGCCCTGCCGTGCCATTCTGGGGCAGGAGAGGGGCAGGAGGGTCCTGCGGCTACCTGGGCTCTCCTGGAGGTGTAACGTCTGCCCTGCCCACCCCACAGAGCAGCCATGGAGGTGATGAATATGATGGAGCAGCCGATCAAGGTGACGGAGTGGCAGCAGACCTACACCTACGACTCCGGAATCCACTCCGGCGTCAACACACAGGTGCCCTCCGTCAGCAGCAAGTGCCTGGGGGATGATGACGAGGTGTATGGGAAGCAGTACACCATCAAGAAGACAACCACCACGAGTTACTGCCAGGGAGGGAGCCAGGCCCAGAGCCAAGCGCAAGGTAAGGGGCTGTGAGGCCCGGCACATCCGCAGGCTCAGCTGCTCAGCTCCTGCCTTCCTCTTCCTCCCCCGCAGCCACGCTGCTTCTGGGTACTCCTCCATGCTGGCTTCCACACCCCGGGAGTTGTTGCTGCCTAAAATATGCTCCCTCCTGTCCTGCCCAGCGCCGAGAGGCTCTTGTGCGGGGGTGGCGCGCGGTCAGCCCGCGCTGGGGCTGAGCTGCGCGCACATCCCAGCGTGCCAGCGGGTTGGCTTGAGATGGGAACAGCTGATCCCGGATCTGCCACCTGCTCTACTGCCTGTCTGCCTGCTGGGAAACCTGTCCCAGTGTGGCTGCCAGAGCTGCCAGTGTGTGCCATAACACCGTGCCAATGCCATGGCTTCTCCCGCTGAGGCAAGGACGATGCGAACCCGCAGCCTGGAGTGAAGGAGATGCTTCTCCCAGCTTTATCCCCTCAAGGGGGGCTGGTTTGCTCTGCTTGCCTCTCAATTCCCTGCCAGCAGTAGGCTCTGGAAGGTTTATTGACAGCTCCCATGAGGGTCAGAACTCCCTACCAGGACCCTGTGCAGTCCTTGTGCTGCAAAGGTGGGGACCATGGGTGGCTACTGCAATATCACGTCAGCATCTTTGATGGGGAAGGCCTCAGTGTTCTCCTTTTTTCCAGTGCCAGCTAGTCCCAAGTTGCAAATATCCTTAATTTTTTAATTAATAGGCCTTGTGTGACAACTGCCTCATCATGCTGCCTAATTGAGTGTTGTCTTATCTGTGTGCTGCTGGATCTGTTTACGCTTTGAAGCTCCAGCTCTGTGCAGAGTGTGCGGAGACTGCTGACGTGGCCGGTGTCGCTGCGCTAAGCTCTTGCTCATCTCGCTGGGTTTGGGAAGCAGGGCTGGGAGCGCTCCTTGGAGAGAGCTTTACGCTGCCTCCCTGTCCCCCCTGCAGCGGACATGGAGGCTCAGCTGGCCATGACCCGTGCCCAGCGTGTCCGGGCCGCCATGTACCCCGAGACGGTGGAGGACCGCTCACTTCTCATCACCACCCAGCTGGAGGGGCAGCAGACCAATGTGCAGCGCCTGGCAGAGCCCTCCCAGATGCTCAAGTCAGCCATTGTGCACCTTATCAACTACCAGGATGACGCTGAGTTGGCCACACGTGCCATCCCAGAGCTCACCAAGCTGCTCAACGATGAGGACCCGGTAAGGAGCTGTGTTTGCTGTGTTTGTCTCTGGGCTTTCAGCTGCTGCACCGATGGGCTCCTGTCCCTGTGGGGCTCTGTGGCCACGTCTCCTTCCTCTTGGCCAAACTCCTGGTTGCCTCCACCCTGAACCAGGACTGCGCCCACCGCTGCCCAGCCGTGTCACCTCACATCCTGTCCTTGCTGCGGGACCCCTTCCCGGACACTGGCTCCTCTCCCTGCAGGTGGTTGTCAGCAAGGCAGCCATGATCGTCAACCAGCTCTCCAAGAAGGAGGCGTCGCGCCGCGCGCTGATGCAGTCGCCGCAGATCGTGGCGGCCGTGGTCCGCACCATGCAGAGCACCAGCGACCTGGACACCGCCCGCTGCACCACCAGCATCCTGCACAACCTCTCGCACCACCGCGAGGGCCTGCTCTCCATCTTCAAGTCTGGTGGCATCCCGGCCCTCGTCAGGATGCTGAGGTACACGGTGCTGGGGACTCTGGGGGGGTTGGCAGAGCCTGGCAGCCCCTCCTGGGCTGGGGGCAGAGGAAGGGAGGGGCTCATGCTGCCCTCAGGGTGGGTCCTCCTGCTCACCAAAGCAATGGGAGGCTCTGAACCTGTGAAAACCCCTGGGGTTTGCTGTGGATGGAGTTTCCATGGGAGCAGGAGGAGGGGAGTGGGTTCCTCACCCGCACTGCCCTGGCCACAGAGATGGGGCTCAGGCTCTGAGGTGTCCATTCCCTGGGGCCGTGCTGAAGGGTGCAGGTGGGTGCTGAGCTTGGGGAGCCCCAGGGGCTCTACAGCAGCCAGGTGAGCGCGGGGTAGTTCCTGCCCTGACGTGGTGTGTGCTGCCCTCCCACAGCTCACCTGTCGAGTCCGTTCTCTTCTACGCCATCACCACCCTGCACAACCTGCTGCTGTACCAGGAGGGGGCCAAGATGGCCGTGCGCTTGGCCGACGGGCTGCAGAAGATGGTTCCTCTGCTGAACAAGAACAACCCCAAGTTCCTGGCCATCACCACTGACTGCCTCCAGCTTCTGGCCTATGGGAACCAGGAGAGCAAGGTGGGCTGGGGATCCAGACTGACAGAGACGTGGGGAAGGCAGGACGGGGGTGGTTGCCCAAGTTTGCACCTCACAGATGAGCAGGAGGCAGCAGTGGAGACCCCACCATCTCGTGTGTCCCTGGTGATGTGACCAGAGCATTCCTGCATGCCAAGGGGCTGGAGCTCCTGCCTGGCTCATGTCCTGGCATGAGCTAGGGAAGCTGAAAGGGGGTCCCAGCAGCCCAGGGCTGCCACACCCCAATTCTACATTCTTAATGCCCCATCCCTGGAAGTGTTCAGGATCAGGTTGGACAGGGCTTGCAGCCACCTCGTCTAGTGGAATGTGCTGCTGCCTGTGGTGGAGGGTGGAACTGGATGGTGTTTGAGGTTCCTTCCAACCCAAACCATTCTGGGACTCTGTCTCGCAGCTGATTATTTTGGCCAATGGAGGACCCCAGGCCCTGGTGCAGATCATGCGCAGCTACAACTACGAGAAGCTGCTCTGGACCACGAGCCGCGTGCTCAAGGTGCTGTCGGTGTGTCCCAGCAACAAACCTGCCATCGTTGAGGCTGGTAAGAGAGGCTGGGGCAGAGCCACAGGAGGAGGATGGATGGTGGTGTCAGGGTGATAGGGGGGAGGGCATGTCCTCCCACGTGTCTGTGAGACGGGCAGAGGTCTGCACAGCCAAGTGAAGTCTGTGCTGGCCTGGATTCCTGCTCTGAAGGCTACTAAGGCATGTTCCTGGCACTGTGTGTGGGCAGGATCTATCCTGGCTGTCCAAGAGCTCTTCACACACCACATTTGGCCTCTGCTGAGCCATGAGGCTGCCCTGTGTGCAGGAGCATTGGCTCATGCCCAGCCCACACAGCCCTGCTGCTGCTCACTTCTCCTCCTGCTGGGATGGCCAGGGGTGCTCACAGGACTGTCCCCTTCCCTGCAGGTGGCATGCAGGCACTGGGCAAACACCTGACCAGCTCCAGCCCCAGGTTGGTCCAGAACTGCCTGTGGACCCTGAGGAACCTTTCTGACGTGGCAACCAAACAGGTGAGTCTGCAGGACCCCTGTTTGTGCTTCAGTGCCACATTTTGGAGCAGTGTCCATGCCAGGTGCTGGGTGGGCCATGCCAGGCTGAGTCCAAAGCCTTGTGTTCCCTGTTCCCTGAGCTGCAGCAGTGCTTGTGCCTGGCAGGGTGAGGGGGTGCCCCGCTGTGCCCAAGTTACCCAGCAGCAGGGCTTGTCCTGCATCCCGGGGTGCTGCTCACTGCCTGTGGCCTTGCCCATGCCAGCTGGCTGCCAGCACTCCTGCGTGTCCCCAGTGCAGGGCCGAGGCCACCGCGGTCACTCAGCGGGTGCCACCAGAGTTTGCTCTGGCTCAGGAGCCCCATCAGCCTGTGCTGGGCTGGCTGCCTGCCCGGCTCCTGGGGGAGCTGCTGGCAGAGCTGCTGCCAAGGCTGTTGTGCCCTGCAGCCGGTGCAGAGATGACCCCAGCCCTGCTCTGGGTCTGCTCTCCCAGCCCTCTGCTGCCTCCTGATGAGTTTTCCCATCTGCTGGGGCCGCTCCATGCGGATTAGCTCTGATGCAGCCTGGAAACTATTTTGGCTGTCATGGAACCACCCCTGGCTCTGATGACTGAAGGGCTAAAGGAGGATGTGGCCATGGCGCTTTAACTCCTTCCTGACCCGCTGCTGGCTGCTGGCCAGCACAGCCAGGACTGGGGTCACTCCATCACCGTGTGGGGAGTGCTGGCAGGGGCATCGGAAGTGTGATTCCAGCAGGAGACATTAAATTCTGACTGACTGCACATGTTAGAGTGGCTGGGGCTCACAGTGAAGGAGCAGCTCCAGCTGTAGGGGATGGAAAAGAAGCCATGGGGGAATGGAAAAGGAGCTGTGTTGGGAGTCAGGAACACAGTGGCCCCCTCATCACTGCCTGCTAGGGCCATGTGGGGCTGAATGTGGCACTAGAACTTGGGTCTGGCTGTGTGTGCTGCTCCCACCTCCCATCCCCACTCCTGCAGGAGGGCCTGGATGGTGTCCTCAAGATCCTGGTGAACCAGCTGAGCTCTGATGATGTGAATGTGCTGACCTGTGCTACTGGCACCCTCTCCAACCTGACCTGCAACAACAGCAAGAACAAGACACTGGTGACGCAGTCAAACGGGGTGGAGGCCCTGATCCACACCATTCTGCGGGCGGGTGACAAGGAGGACATCACCGAGCCGGCCGTCTGCGCCCTGCGGCACCTCACCAGCCGGCACCCCGAGGCCGAGATGGCCCAGAACTCGGTGCGCCTCAACTACGGCATCCCCGCCATCGTCAAGCTCCTCAACCAGCCCAACCAGTGGCCACTGGTTAAGGTAAGGGGCCAGAGGGGTGTTGTGGGCAGGAGGAGTCCAGTGCTCGGGCTGGAGCGAGCTCCTGCCTGCTGTTCTGTGGTGGGACGGGCTGCTGAGGGGGTCTGGTGCTGTGCACAGAGTGATGGTGGCTGCTGCTGGGTCATGTCCTGATGAGGGAAAGTGGCTCATGCCTGCTGCTTGTTGGAATTGAAGCTCAGCTTGGGGAGAGGATGGATCCAGGGCAGGGAGGAGCGGAGTCAGCCTGCACCATGAAGGGGATGGGGTGGGACAGATGGGTGCAGCCAGTGGGTCTCTTGGGGAACACGTGCTGCTCTGATCACAGTTGAGACAAATGGCTCCTTCCTCCTCCCCTCCTGCAGGCTACCATAGGCCTGATCCGCAACCTGGCCCTGTGTCCGGCCAACCACGCCCCGCTGCAGGAGGCCGCCGTCATCCCCCGCCTGGTCCAGCTGCTGGTCAAGGCTCACCAGGACGCCCAGCGACACGCGGCCGCTGGCACACAGCAGCCCTACACGGTGAGTCCCCAGCCCTTTGCCCTGCTCCCAGCACAGCCTGGCACCCCAAAACCCAGCCTGTCCTGGGGGTACCCCGTGCCCACACTTCAGGTGGCCGTGCCCCGGTGTGTGAGGGCCCTGGCTGAGCTCTTGTTCCCTTGCAGGATGGAGTGAAGATGGAAGAGATTGTGGAGGGTTGCACGGGGGCACTGCACATCCTGGCCCGGGACCCCATGAACCGCATGGAGATCTTCCGCCTCAACACCATCCCTCTCTTCGTGCAGGTCAGGGCTGTGGGGACACAGGAGCTGCACTGGGCCACCTCCTGCCCAGCCTGCACGGGCAGCTGCAGCCCTGGGCTGGTGGCCCCATGCATCAGGACGTGCCCAGAGCACAGGGGCTCCTTGCTGGCTGCCTCACACGGCCGCTGATCTCTCCTGACAGCTCCTGTACTCGCCGGTGGAGAACATCCAGCGCGTGGCAGCCGGTGTGCTGTGCGAGCTGGCCCAGGACAAGGAGGCAGCAGATGCCATCGATGCCGAGGGGGCCTCGGCTCCGCTGATGGAGCTGTTGCACTCCCGGAATGAGGGGACAGGTGAGTGCTGCTATGCTGGGGACTCTCCTGGCACTGTCCCAGCTGGGGCTGCTGGGGCTCTGGTGCTGCGTGGCAGCAGGAGCTGAGGCTGCTGCCCATCCCTACAGCCACCTATGCGGCCGCCGTGCTCTTCCGCATCTCGGAGGACAAGAATCCTGACTACAGGAAACGTGTCTCCGTGGAGCTCACCAACTCCCTCTTCAAGCATGACCCGGCAGCCTGGGAAGCGGTGAGCATCCCAACCACATCTTTTCCCTGGGGAAACCGGGGTGTCAGGGATGGCCCTGTGCTGCTGCCAAAAGCTGTTGGCAGCACCTCCAACCAGCGCTCAGACAGGAGCGACTGTCAGACCGTGGGAGGTGGGAGGCAGATGGGCTGTGGCCTCAGCTCCTGGGTCATTTTCCACGCCGTGGCCCCTGAGCATTGTGAATGTCAGTCCCTTCAATTGTGCCATCTTCTTCCATAGGCTCAGAGCATGATCCCCATCAATGAGCCCTACTCAGATGGTGAGTGTGCCACCAGCCCTCCTTGCAGGGTCCCCACGGGCTGGGTTCTGGAGGGGCAGTTGCCTTGTGTCACTAAGCCAGGCTGGATTTAAAACCTTTTTCAGGTGGCTGTCAGTCAAGTGCCAGCCCAGTCTGCTGGAGATTGGGGGTGCACAGTGGGATGCTCAGCTCCAAGGGAGCACACACAGCTTGTGCCCTTGGGCTAGGGGATGGTGGGGCCCTTTTACAGCACCAGCATGTCACATGTTGCCCTGGATGGGGGGACAAGGAAGTGGCTGAGAGCTGATGGGAGCTGAGGTTGCCACATCCCTTCCCTGCAGAGCTGGACCCTGGTTACCGCCCCATGTACTCGGGTGACATCCCCCTGGACCCCATGGACATGCACATGGACATGGACGGGGACTACCCCATGGATGCCTACAGCGACGGCGTCCGAGCGCCCTTCGCTGACCACATGCTCGCCTAACCCGCCGCAGCCCCACACCAGGTACCTGCCAGCACACCTGGCAAAGGGCTCAGCCCTGTGGCAGCACGGGTGGCCAGGGGAGGCAGGGCTGGCTGATGGCGCGGCTGGGGGGTCCCTGGTGCCACCACGGGGTCCCTGGCACTGCCATGGGTCAGTGTCCCCATCAGCTGTGGGCCCAGGGTGTCCTGCGCTCTGGTCTCCTCCCAAATCCTCCCTCGGTGGATGACAGGAGTTCTCTGCCATTGCAGGTGTTCTCTCCACGCAGAAGAGGGTGGCCCCAGAGCTGAGCATTTGCGAGAAGGACTTGGGAGATAGAAGTGCCTGAGAAGACAAAACTTTTCCATTCCCACGAGAGGTTTTATTTTTCGATTTGTTTTCTTCGCTGTGGGTCTGTGGAGAAGGTCCTTCCTCCTGGGACTGCTTCGAGCACCTACTGCCACATCCAGCATCCAAGATACTGTTTCTGAAGCTTTAAAACACAAACCTTGCACCGTTAGTGATCTTTCATTGGCAAAATAGTCTTTTCTATGAATATATATTTCTTTTTTATTTTTAATATGGTGCCAACGGCTTTTGCCGTCTTTAAGTTTGTGCTTTCTAACTTCCTCATGATCTGTTTTGCGTGTTAGTGTTCTAGGAGAGGAATCTGACATGGAAAAACCCTTTGCTTCCTGCAAACTGCAACTGAATCAGGCCAATCCAGAGTTTGCTGAAAGCAAAGGGTCCATGTCCCAGGGCCTTCGGGGTGTCTGAGGTTTAATTCTTTCCCATCAGCCGCTGGGAGCTGACTTTGTGTCCCTGTCCTGCCGGTCCCCATAGAGGAGTGATTCCAGCATTAGGAACTGTGTCCTTGTACTGATCTTTGTTGCACATTTTAACCTGTTTCCCTTCTCTTTGGTGAGTGGTGTGTTTCGGTCCCCTCCTCCCTTATCTAACGCATTTTTTAAAAGAGGCTTTAGATCTGATGGTGGTTTAACACTCCGGCTGGAAAGGGATGGACAGTTACTGGAGTGTGGGTCAGGAATGGAAGATTTTATTATTTCTGTAAGTTGTTTTTGTATAGACCAAAGCAAAGAATAAAATAACCCCTGCAGCCCCGTGCTGCCCTGAGCCTGTTCTTGTGTCGGCTGGGGACGGTCCCTGGGGCAGCCGGGGGAAGGTGCAGCCCTCGCCGCTCTGTGAGTCCCTCCATGGGGCAGGGGGATCCTGGGGTACTCATTGCCATGCCTGGCACCTGCTTTGCCTGGAGGTGAGCCCAGGCTGCCACAGAGCACGGCAGGACACCGAGGTTCATGTGCCGTGCTGGGGACGGGAGCAAGCGGGGACAAAGCAGAAGGAGCTGGCCTGGGAAGCGGGACTGGGGGGAACATCCTGCCTGAGCTCGGCGCTGTGGCCTCAGCCAAGCCCAGGGCTCAGGGAAATGGATCTGCTTCCTGCCACAGCCCCTGCCAGGACCAGCAAGGAGCAAAACAACAGCTGCTTTCCGGGCAGCCCCAGCAGGACCCAGTGCGCTTCCCGAGGGCCATGGGGCTGGGGTGGCTCATGGGATGAGGGCCAGACACCCCCGGCCTGCTGCAGCTGCTGCCAGAGCAGGAGACAATCGGTGACAGGCCTTGGCTCCAGCCCTGTGCCTCGGATGGGGGTTTGGCTGTGCTGAGCCTGGACCCCACATCGTGGCTCCCAGTCAGCTCTGCTGCGGGTCACAGGAATGTCCCTGCTGCCACATCTGGCTGTCCCCAAAGTGCCAGCGGGTGTGGAGATGCCCCAGAACATCTGCTGTAGGAATGGTGGGATCCTGCAGCCATCCTGGAGCTATGGGCAGGGATGTGCTCCCCGCACAGGCTGGGGCAGGAATGCACATCCTGAGATCCCCAGTCCCCCTGGGCACAGCTGCCAGGGGCATGTGCGGGATTTTGGGGGAGAAGTGAAGCCAGAGGACACCTGGACCAGAGCAACCAGAGGTGCTTGCGGGGTACTCAAGGAGCGGCGGGACAGACTGCGGTTCCCGACACTCTCGGCTGCTCTCCGCCCCTGCCGGGAGCGGCTTTCGGTGTCGGCGGGGCCCGGGAGCGGTGTCCGATGGCACCGGGAGCAGCGCCCGGCGTGTGTGCGGATCTCCTCCCCGGGCCAGCCGCTGCACCCCAACCCGGCATCTCCCGTGCGCACCGAGCCCTGCGCTCCCGCGGTGCCCCACTCCATCTCCGGGCCACACCCGGTGCCTGCGTCCCCCAGGTTGCCCCTAAATCCCCGGGCGAGCCCCGGGCTGTGCCCTGCGGTCCCCTCCGTTCCCCTGGAGGTGTCACAGACAGCGGCTGCCGCCGCCCCGGGGGAATTTGCCTCGTCTCTCCCCTTCTCACGGTGCTCGGCCGCTCCTCGGGAGGTGCCCGGGCAGGACGGCATCGGGCAGGGCAGGGAGCAGCAGGGCGAGTCTGCACAGGCACCTGGGCAGGTCTGAGCCAGGACCTTGCTCCTCCTGGCCCGTGTCCCACCGCTGCCCGGGACCACCGTCCTGCCCTGCCCAGCTCCCGGGACAGGTCCCGGCTCATCAAAGGCCGGTGGAGGGGGGACAGTGGGGTCGGGGGTCAATGGGAGCGGGGGGCGGTGGGCGCAGCGGGCGATGGGAGCTGCTCGGCGCGTGTCTGAGCAAGGCTCCCCCGGGGAGGGTAAATGCAGGTGCAGGAGCTGGGCCAAAAGCCGACGCAGGGCTCTGGCAGTGCGGCTGAGCTGACTCACCGGCCCCGCTCCCGCCCCGGAGCCGCCGGCAGCGCGGCACCTCCGCACGGTGGGTCCTGTCCTTCCCTGGGGAGAAGAGGGTCTGAGGGCATGGGGAGCTGCTTTCTGGTGCAGGATGGGGCCCCCAGGTCTGGTGGTCCCAGTGCCAGGGGGCACAGGACTGGGGAAGGCTGTGGGTGTGCTTTGGGGTCTGCATGTTGCCTTGTGCAGTCTCTGTGTGCCAGGGGGGAGCAGGGTGGCCTGGTCTGGGTCCTGCGCATGTGGCAGCGATCCTGAGCATGTGCCAGGAGAGAGGGCAGCCGTGCCCTGGCATGAGCCAGGAGAGAGGGCAGCCGTGCCCTGGCATGAGCCGGGAACGAGAGGCTGCTTGTGCCACAGCCCCACAATGGTGGAGGTGGGAGCAGGGCTGGACATGTGGCAGGGCACTGGTGCAGAGGCTCCTGCCCTGCAGGGCAGAGGGGCAGCAGTGCCAGCAGTGGCTGCAGCCCGAGCCAGAGCCATTGGGGGTGGCCAGAGAGCAGGAACATGCTGGATTTATGGCCCGTCTCATGATGTGTTTATGGTTGGGATGAGGCAGCTGCAGATGCTGCCCAGCCCTGCCCTGCCCTGCACGGCAGGTCTCTGCTCTGCATCCTGGTGCCGACAGGGTGGAGGTTCGCAGGTGGACTTTGCTCTTCGAGGTGGAGCTCCCCGGGGCTCTCCCTGGCACCGCTGCTGTGTCTGCCCACTGCCGGGCAACTCGACAGCTCCTCCCTGTTCGCTCCACAGGCAGAGACCCAGCGGGGACCCTGTGGGGACCGGGTCCTGTCCTGTCCTGCCCGGCCCTGGCGCTGCTTTGGTGCTGAGCCCCCCGCGTCCCGCAGCAGCCACCGCAGAGCAGGTACGCTGACCCCTTGCCTCTGCCAAAGCTGCCCCATATTCAGGGCTGGAGCTGAGCTGGAGTCGGTTCCCACAGCTCTCCTGTGCCATCGGCAGGGAGCAGGAACACCTGAGCCATGGCTATGCCGTCCGGCCCCTGGGCTGGCAGATGGAAGGTGTTTGTGCTACGGCAGCATGCTGGGGGATATGGGGGTTCAGGATGTGTCCATGGTCCCTCGAGCATCACTTGAACAGCTCCTTCCCCCCAGGCAGGGGCCGGAGAAGGGACTCTGCTGCCCGCAGCGCCGCTCCAGGGAGCCAGGGTGGACTCTCCTCATGGCACCAAGGCCCCCACGTAACACCAGCCAAACTGGACACCCCGGTCCCACGAGAGACCCTCCCCAGCCAGAGCCAACCCTTCTGCCACCTCCAGCCCAGCCCGGACTCTCCCATCCCTGCCTGTCCCCACACCAACCCAGTGTCCCACCGCTCAGACACGGGCACACGCCGCGATGCCGCGACCATCACCGGTGGGTAGAGCTGAGGGTGGTGCCAGCGGGCCCCTTGGGGGAATTGAGGTGAGGGGGTGAGGAGATGGGTCTCCTTCGGGCTGTTCCTTCATCCTGTCACCGTTTGTGGCCGGACATGAACCATTGTCCCGGCATCCTTCACCCCACGCTGTGTCCATCCCACGCTGTCCCCAGCGCCGCTCGGCCGGGCAGAGGGTGGCCAGGAGATGGCAGCAGGACCCTGACAGTGGGGAGATGGCGGGGGAGCAGGACACGGCTGGGGAAGGGTCCCTGAGTGCCACCCTGTGGGGCACCCCCCAATCCCTACAGCAGAGCCAGCTGGCGGCACCAGCCCCAAACCCCCAGGGGACAGAGTGGGCTGAGGGGTGCAGGATGTACTCCCCTGTGCAGCCCACTCCCCGCAATCCCCCCCACCCTGTGCTGACACCGTGTCCCTCTGTCCCCAGAGCTGTGCAGCGAGGATGTCCCCGAGGTGGAGATCGTCACCCTGTTGGGCGAGCGGCCGCCCCGCTACACGCTGCGGGCTGACACCGTGTTTGGCTATGACCACGGCGACTGGCTGCGAGCCCCCAGCGGCCCCCCGCAGCCCCCAGCCCCCCTCACCCCCCAGCAGATAGAGGAGACCCTGCAGTATTTCCGTGAGTGCCCGTGGGCAGCGGGGTTGGTGAGGGGGGTGGGCACAGCCCCAATGTCTGCGTGGTGAGGACAGCCTGGGCACTAATCACTGCTAATGGGATTGACGGGCTGGATTTCCTCACCCAGAACATCCCGGGCTAATTCTGGGAGCAGCTTCTGCCGGGCCAAGCCGGATGCTGGGAGAGAGCCCCCATCATTTCAGGGACCCCTGCATGTCCCTGCTCCCCTGTGTTGTGCCCTGGCTCACAAGGGTGGGACACTGGTGGGCTTGGCAAGGTGTCCCAGCGAATGCCAGGGCTGCTGCTCCCCCAGACATGTCAGCCTGGAGCAGGGCTCAGGGCCCCTGCTGCCAGCGAAGCCCCCAGAGCTGTGGGGATCCCATGGGGATCCCCTGGCCAGGCAGGGGCAATCCCATGGCACTGGGACGTGGCCCATTCCTGGTGCGAGCTCGGGGTTCAGCGGGGGGCACAGACAGATTATCTCTGCTTTGTTTGTGCCTCTGGCCTGCGTCTGGCCAGGATTAGAGCAAGGGGCTGGGGGATGGATGTGGGGCAGTGGGAGACAGATGGGGCTGAGGCCTCCACCCCCCTGCTCACGCCAGGCTGGGCTGGGGGTAAATCCTCACCGTGCCTTGCCTGTGCTTGCAGCCTTCCCCTTCTGGCTGCTTCCCTCTCTGTTCAGCAGTGGTGACCATCAGCACTGCCCCCTGCAGTGGCAGCACAAGGGGCTGAGCCCTAAACCCTGTCACTGTGCCATGGGGTAGGGAGCACGCAGCACCACAGAGCCCCAGTCTTGCCCCATGGGGCAGCAGCTCTCAGTGCCAGACTCCTGCAGGTCACAAAGAGCCTCCAGTGCTGCTGGCACGTGCTGGAAGGGGCCCATGGCGTCATTCCTTTACTCAAACCTTTAAGCTGCCGGCAGAAATAGCCCCCTGTAATCTGCTTGTGCAGGCACAGGGAACCCGCCCAGAGGAGCAAATCCTGGGGCAGGGGATTAGGAAGAAGCAGTTCCCACCTGTCCAGGCTGAGACACCTGCTTGAGACCTTGGGGTCCCTGGAGGGGACCTTGGGGTGCCCAGTTGGTGGCTGTGTCATCCCAGACCTGCTCCAGGAGCAGGGAGAGGCTGGGACTGAGGGCACCTGCTCCAGTCCTCGCTCCAGAGGGGACTGGTGGTTATGGCAGGATGTAGCTGGGGTCAGGATCCCAGTGGGTAGGAGTCAAGCAGGCAAAGGTGTGTGATGCTGAGGGGCAGCTTCAGCTACATCCATTCACTGATTATTTGGGTGCTAACAAGGATGGGCACTGGGGCAGGTGACAAGGACAGGGCACGCTGGCA